TTTCAGATTCGGGTTTTCCCAGATGTGCCAATATGACATCTCTAATAAAATGGAACTTTGCTCAGGCTTTGGAGTCTTCTTTCGTTGGGAGTGTTACTTTGAACCCTGACACTGCCCCTCCTTTCTCTTCAGTCAAAAGAAGTGGATTTTTATGTAAAGGACTGGAAGCCATACTGAAACAATTTTAAAGAGGTTAAAAATTAGATTTAAAAAACAATCCTTTTATCTCCATCCCATATATTGAAATAATTTTTTCCCTCATAAAACCAATGGCTATTTTTCCCCGTTGTTCTTGTTCAGTGCTAGGTGTGTCCACAACAGGGGTGGGTTTCAACCGGTTCGCGGCAGTCCCTGCGAACCGGTTGGTTGCCGAACCCGGTAGTAAGCAACTTCCGGGAACGGCGAAGGGCGCACCCGCCCACCCGCGGTCCTTACCCGGTTTTGACGAGTTCTGCGCTTTCACGCATGCGCAGGACACATACAGCACCTGCGCGATCGTCCAGGAGCAGCTGGAGCGTCGCGCAGACACTAGTACGCATGCATGCACCGCGCGCGTGCACGAGGACGCCGCCGGCCCTGTTCCAACCGAACCGGTTGGAACAGGGCGAGAAACCCACCCTTGGATGGTTCCCTAGGCAGCATCTCTTGCCTTCATCCCCAAGGTCATTCACACATTCCATTACATCATCTACATGCAAACCAAGCCCCAAAGTTATTAAAAAGTCAGGCCCGTCTGAGCACCAACTCGTACCTTACTACATGGAGCAATCCAATAGGCCATAGAAAGGAATGGCAATCCAACAGCTACAGCAAGAACCACTAAAAACTTCACTGCCATGGTCTGTTGCCGTAAACCCGACAAATTCTCGTACCAGATTGAGAGAAGCTGCTGCTGGCAGTTTGGATGTGCAACAAACTGCAAAAAAAGAGAAAGGGAGAGAGAGAAAACACAAAGAAGCGTTAGCCGTAATCTGCCACTCACCTCAAAAGTAGAATGCTAAAATAATATTAAAACAAAAAAAAATTATCTAAGTAATCTTCACATGACAGTCACAAAGGAAGCATGGAACTTAAAGTGTGGAGAACCTCTTTATGTGCCTTATGTTTTTTCCTAAAGTAGAGAATTTTGATTACTTAACAAAAGAAATCCTGAATTTAGTTTTCAGCAATATTGCTTTTAAAAAGATTTTCCTTCCAAAAAATGTCCCCAGGTGAAGACTACTACAAATAAGAGCATAAAATGTGCTAGACTGAGTCAAGTCAACGGTATAGTTTACTGTATATCCTGTTAAGATATTACTTTAATAATATCTTTGGGATTTCTGCAACACGAATCTGATGGCAGGAGCCATTCCTTTTATGATATTACAGCATCTCGTAAAAGAAGTACAGGAGCAATTTGGCATTGAAAATGAAAAATATGTTTCGGATTTTTAATAGCCATATTTGAACACCATCTCGATCGCTAGTATCCAAGAGCGTTAAAGAGTTTTAATTCTCTTTTCACTTCTCTGCTTACATGAAGTTGCACCTCAATTGTTCAATCTTTATGAAGCTGCAGGGAGAGGTGGGGGGCTTTTAAAAAAAAATTTAAAGAGAGATTTAATTTGCTTGTTTTTGAATTTTAGAGGTGTTAATATATATTGTTAAATATACTGGGGATTTGAAATACTAATATATACATTACAACAACATATGTGACATCTTAATACATTTATCCTGTATTTGAGCAGCTGATCTTGGTAACTGTGAGGCTGCATATAATTGGCAAGTCCCAATGGCAGTTGGTCTTACCTGAACTGCTATTTTCGGGGCTCGGACAGGAGGCTCCAGTGGATGGTATTGACACACCCATTTGGCCACAAGACTGGGATGAAGCTGAAGACACGTCTCTGTGCTCCACCCTTCCTTCTCCACTTCATCTCAGTCTGGCTAAAGAACGAGTCATATTTTTAACTTCTCCTGAAATTTCTATCTCTACTGGAACCTCTTTGCCTCTGCAGCCACCGTAGCTAGCTCTCCACTCTAGACTGCAAGTAGCTCTACGTGGTTTTCCTTTCTAATCACCAGGGAGTGTTACTTAGTATCCTTGGGATCGGAGAGAGCGCTGAGGTTGTGGCAGCCATTTTAGACTTTGCCAAGCACGTGGTACCGATCCCTGGGGTTTTTTATGCGATCGGGAGGCTAGAGGCTAGGGATTCCCAATCCAGAGCCCCCCCCCCATCGCACCAATCTACTGGAAATGGCTTCAGCAGCTGGATTTGAGCCGCGGAGAGCATGGAGCGCTGAGAAGAGCGCGAAGGAGCCTCCTGTCCCTCGCTCCGGAAAATATCTGTAGCTCAACGTTGAACTATGGAGTCCTTAGTTCTCTTTGAGTTGTTGGGAGTTTTCTCTTTGGTGGTCCCTTGATCTAGGTATTGTTTTCTGCTCAATTGTCTGAAACTGATAAACGGAGAGCCACCTAGAAAAACTAAATCCCCCCAAAATGCTAGGGAATTCCTGGAAGCTTAACATTTAACAAATCAGTCATCAACAGACATAGAGATAAAGCACATTTACACACAATTCAAAGGAGAGAATAAAGAAAAAGCTAAGAAGGAAACAAAAAGACCAGAATAGCGCCTTTCCCAGATAAATCGGGATTAACATCACACAACAATCAAGCAGAAAACAATATGCTAATCAAGGAATTACCACACTCTACCAACATTGGTAGAGCAAGCTGCTGAATCTAAACAAGGAACAAACCTCACACTCACTAGTACTGATGATGTTACCTAGTTGAGTAATGAAATGTTTGCAAGCAAACAAAGCTCATAGAGCATCAAACACTCCACAGTTTCCGGGTTGACTCAGCCTTCCATCCTTCCGAGGTGGGTAAAATGAGGACCCAGATTGTTGGGGGCAATATGCTGACTCTCTGTAAACCGCTTAGAGAGGCCTGAAAGGCCTATGAAGCGGTATATAAGTCTACTGCTATTGCTATGTATAAGTTTCCAGCCAGTGGTTGCTCATATTTGGTTGAATTTGCATTGGCTTATTTGTTTATTTAACATACGTATACATACAGCCATGTATTAATGGATCTCTAGATGGTAATCAAGGATGAAAACTGAATACAGTTATCAATATTGGTTTAAAGGAGAAAAAATACAAATGAGAGACCACAATAAAAATTTCACAGCTGTAGATCATGTACAATCAGTTATGGATTTGCAAAAGAAGGAAATCCATTAATTATGATTTGTTGTTTATGGTATAGGTCTATTACATTTTTGGAACTGAGAATATATTTTAGTAAGTTTATATTTAAAGTAACGATAGACTCAACTAATTATTTTAATTTTCTGGAGTTAAACATACTAGAAAATTGTATATCTAGGGAGCCGAGGTGGTGCAGTGGTTAGAGTGCAGCACTGCAGGCTATTTCAACTGACTACTAGCTGCAGTTCAGCAGTTCAAATCTCATTGGCTCAAGGTTGACTCAGCCTTCCATCCTTCCGAGGTGGGTAAAATGAGGACCCAGATTATTGGAGGCAATAGGCTGACTCTGTAAACCGCTTAGAGAGGGCTGTAAAGCATTGCGAAGCAGTATATGTCTAAGTGCTATTGCTATTGCTATTTTGTATTATCCACTAAGATTTGGCAGCATGATTTTTAATGGATGTCAAAAAGTGGGACTTGTTGATGACATGTTGTGGGTAATTCCTTGAAAACAAGGAAAGCCTACAAAAATGCCATCAAGTTAAATAGACTGATCAGCACCAATCATTCTCCAGGATATATGAATATCAAAAATTTAAATGCTCCAGGACGCTGCTTTGACTATGAAGACTATTTTTGGCATTCCATGCTAACAGTATTGAATAATTGTGAGGGGCTTAACTGAAAACCCCTCAGTTAATCTCAGAACTCACTTTTTTGACTTCATATTTTATAGCCCGTTTTAAGCGGCTCAGACTTGGACGTCCATGCTCCCCATGGTTCAATTCAACATCTCCGTTGAGGATAGCTTCCACTTCTTCTGTGTTTCTGCACAAATCAAGAAGTCCAACCACAAAGTCCTTGCACTGCATTGACAATTTTTTGTAATCGTTCTTTGAAGGAAAAGAAGTTGATGAGTAAATAAACAGTCTCTCCCGTTCCCAGCAATACAAGTGTACAGAGGAACTCTCTTAGTAGGCTGTTGCAAGTAGGAAGACTCTACTACAGAACGTGTTCTACTTTAGGTCTAGCTGTGGAATTTTCTGTTCTCCAATGGGTGTAGATTAGTGAATGTTAATACCAGTGAACATTAACTTCCAAGTAATTAGATATGACTACGAGATAATGGGGTTGAGTGTTTGGCATGCAATGTTAAATATAGCAATGCAATTCTTAGGCACCATAGGTCAGCCTTTGCAGAAGATAACTGGGCTGAGTGAAGGAGTGATGACATGTTTGACCAATGGGCAAAGGAGTCCTTTCATGCTCACAAGAGATATAAGTCCAGCCCACCTTGAATTCCTTTGTCTCTTATCTACTGCCAATTTACTTTGACCATTAGTAATTTAGATTCCTGAGTGGTGCGGTAGCCTAGAGGTGGAGCTCTCACCTCCCAATCAGGAGGCTGTGAGTTCGATCCCAGGTAGAGGCAAATATTTTTCTCTCTGGGCACAATGAGAATACAGTGTATCTCCTGAATATAACTCCACATTTGCAACAGGGATGGCATCTGGCCAGTAATCACTCAGCTCCATGCAGTTGCCCAGATTCCACCCCACAAGGGATTATGGGGTCATTGGAAGAAGAAGAAGAAGAAGAAGAAGAAGAAGAAGAAGAAGAAGAAGAAGAAGAAGAAGAAGAAGAAGA